GGTCGAGTACCTTAACGTTAGCAGAATAAAAAATATCGTGCATCCCTAATTTTAACCATAAAGACTTCAGAAGAGGAACTGCTGATGTTACACTCTGTAAAGTATGACTTCCCATATGGCTGATGGTGTGTGTCAGGATGTCACATTTCTGTTTTTCTGTCTTGTCCTGTCTCACCATAAGATGTCAGTATAACACAGAAAATCACATTCTCCAATCACACCGCTGACCCTGGACACACTATACTGTACTCAAATAACCCCTCTATTCATCCTATGGACGTACTCCATCTAGTGTGAATAACCAACTTCTTCTTGCACACTTAAACGTTTGTAAAACTAAGGAGTAAGATGGTCATAACATGCAATAACATTGTTCAGTTCTTCTTTTTCATGTAGGAGAAACAGGCTGTGAAATACTGTTAGAAACTTCCTCTTTGCGATACCTAACACGTGGTAATATGAACTTTAAAAACTCTTTATTGTTTAATGAGTGAAGATAAACCTAACAAGTGTTTATGATTGAGGAACGTGTACAGCATTAAAGTGTCCTTAAAGTGTTCTTTTTGTTCGAACAGTTGGATGTTGATGTATGTGCAGAGAGCGACACTAGAAGGATGTTTTCACATTCATCTGCTGAAAGAGGAAAGTTTCTCTGTGCTTTTTAAGGGGTGGGGCCTACGAGCATGATTTGTGGCATCACAAATTGTTTGTAATCAATCAATCAATCAATCCTGGTCTAACTTGCAACTTATATAAGTGTAATGCAGAGACTTGAAGCAAGCAGGGCATATATGCAAGAATGGACTTTATAGTGAGGTATGAAGGAAGCAGGAAAACTTTAGAAATGAACTAAATTAGCATATTCATAGATTGTGGAATTCTTTATGAGGTAAAAGGAATAGAATCCTTTTTGAGGATATGAATGTTTCTTTGTAGAGAAACATTATTGTTACAAGCAGATTATTGGTATATTTGTCTTAACAAATGTCTTGAGGGGATCTTTATGGCCTCTTAACTGCGCCAAAAGTGTTGCTCAGTGGCTGACCACTATGGCTCTGGGTAGCTATACAAGTGGAGTGTTTTATACAGCGGAGTATTCATTTAAAGGGATCCTTCACCCTATCAAACAAAAAGCCCTCAATGATCACTGCTGCTCTCTCACCGTGCAGATCGTTTTGGTTTCATAGGCTGAGGTTTAGAGATAAAGACCTCAGGAGCTATTTTTACAACTTCTACTATTTATTCAGTAGAACATAGGTCCAATAAAAATAGCTGATGTCACAGTCTTTGAATTACCCAGCTTGAACTGTTTCCGAAGACATGTTGAGCTTTTCTAGTTTGAGGCACACAAACAAAAATTCCACTCACTACCACTGGCGTTGCAGCAGAAGTCTTTTAGAGACATATATTTAAACCTCACCAGATAAATCTAAAACTTTCTGCATGGTTTTATAGTGCTTTTTTGGACAAATCACCTCTTTAATCGCCACCATACCACACCTTGAAAGCCAGCAGATGTGTCTATATACTATGGTTGTTCCATTATAAAAATAAAATGATGGGAAATTTGTGTGGCGTTTTATTGTAAGCATCATACAGTCTCTCGAAATGTGAGTAGAAATCCAAATGACACATAGTAAAATACAAGTTTTATTACACATCCATATAGTCATTGCAATAGCATATCCAATGATTTACTGTTTTATTAGGTAGTACATAGATGTACTGTAACAAACAGCACATGGACACAGGCAGAAAAAAACATTGTAAATATAGCCTTACATAGATTTCACCAGCTAAAATAACATACAACATTTGGCAAACTGCAATTGGTTGGGTCCTTCCTGCATTGTGGAAGAAGTGGGTGAGTCAGGGATGTTCGTGTAGGCGGAGCACGGTAAGGTAAATGGATATGAAGATGTTGGTATGTTGTTCTGTCCCCTTTTTCATAATGTACACACTGCTGCACAGCCAGCCACAACTTTCTCTTACATCTCCTCAAACACTCTGAACAAGTTAAGAGAGAAACATACAGAAAGGGTTAGAGGGATTTAATGTGGGTATAATGCTCCCACACAGACACAAACAGACACACAGTCAAATAAACCCACCTTAAAACATAAGACCTGGACTTCTGCTGGTCCTTTAAAGGCACTGGTGGAAAGATAAATAAAACAAGAAGAGCATTAAATAGGGTCCTGAGGTGTTAAGGTGTTCACTTCAGTCAGGAATGTTCTAGGAGAAAGTGTGTGCTGATTTGTTTGAGGTTTTGTACGTGTGTGTGTGTGAGAGAAAGAGATCCACTGCGTGTTTTCCATCAAGGATTATCTGGCTCGGTTTCTGCCCTCTTAGCCCATTCTCCCTTCTTCTCACAGCACTCCGCTCCGCCTGTTGACTCATGGTAATGTGAAGAGTTTGGCTGTGTGTCAGATCATCTGGAGTAATTTTTAGAAACTGTAGGGTGCCACACTGACATCACCCCCAGCCCCCACCCAACCAAAGGCGCTCCCTGCTTAATCCCTCGTTTTCCCCCTTGAGGGACCCTCCCATGTAAGGCTGTGCCTAACGGGACTGCATCCCGACACTCAGCAGACTCAGAAGCGTGATCACGTCATCAATAAGGCGCAGTTTACACTTGGCATGAAAACGCGCGTTTGGTAATCTGATCACAAAGTGGGCAGCTGTAAATACAGGTGTGAATGCATCCAAACACATCCAGGATGCATTAAGATCTGATCACTCAAGCTACAGCCGGGGGGGGGGGGGGAGCAGAAAATGTGCACCCATTTTGCAGTTGTGAGTGTCGGAACACCGGTTCCCTGACCAGCCACTAGAATCAACTTTGAGTTGATGGTTTACAGACCGGTGTGACAACATGTGGGAGAAGTGACTGTTTGCTCAAAAACAACAATAGCGGCTGCTACAGAGGTTGGCATAGATGCTGCTAGCAGCAGTTATATCAGAACTGGAGAGCATTTATGAATTGTAACAAGAGCAAACAGCGGAACTGAAGGCTTTTCTCGATGGAAAAGATGTTTTCGCTTTTCTCACAACTGACTTTGTTAAGAGTTTGACTTCGTTCTATGGTTCGTTGATCTGATTGGTTGTTCATCCAATCATCTGACATGTGCCTGCCCTTTTCTAGACAGTTTCTAACAATGACTTTTGAGATGGTCCTGTGTAACAAACCATTGCACTAAAAGCAGCACATTATATTTAAGGGATAAAGCCAAACAAGGTGTCCATTTTTAGGAATTAATGGACACCCTGCAGCCAATCAGAATAGAGTATTTACCCAGAACATGTTATAAGTGTTAACTCATAGCCTTCACTTAATTAATGTGTGTTTTAATGTAGTGTACATTATGTTCAGGAGCCGGTCAGTAAGCTGAGAGATGAAAGGAGGAGAGGAGACATATGATGCACCTCACAGTATTAAAAACTAATATATATATATATATATATATATAATGTAATTGCCCCCTTGCTCACATGTTCTGAATGTACAGCGGGAATGTGAAGCGATAGTGTTTCACAGTGCCGTAAAAAGCACCAGTGGTATGTCCTGTAAGATAAAAACATTATCCTTCGCTCTTTAACTTTTTTACAACCTTCAACTATCCTATGCATCCCTTTAATAACGCGTTCAGTCATCTGTCTCATCATTCTTCCCGCTCAAATGTCTTTTTTTCTTCTTTGCCCCTCCTTTTTGTCACTCACCTCTTCATGCCTTTTTTTTAAATATTTTACTGGGCCAGTCTCTTGTCAACAGTTGAAATGAAACTGTGAGCAAAGCCTCCTGACACTCCTTGAAAGACTACACCACTCGAGCATTTAAACAGCTTAAATGGAAGTGCCTACACCAAAACCCGAATGTGGCTGCCTAACAGTGAGGGTATAAATAGAAACGCTAAAGCTGTAAAAACATCAATTTTGGTATTTCTATTTAACTGACATTAATCTTTGCCACATTACCACATCCAAAAGCAGGGCTTGCAACGTACGAGATGTACAGAGGAGGAGGGTGGAGAGGAGGGAGCAGAAGTGAGGTGACATATATGAGAAGGAAAGAAGAGGGCAAGAGGGAAGGGCAAATGAGTTGTTACTGGTTTCACTTTGATGCTATGAGTTTAAGAACACTGCAATTTATGAGTTGTCAACAGGCATGGGAGTGTTATCGGTCTGCCAAACTGAATCTCAGGCATGGCTTCCACAGATGTTTGTGTCCAAAACACTGAACGACTGAACATTCTCAGTCTCACTTACACAAGAATGGATTTTTTTCTTTGTTCCTTACCTCTGGAGATTTGGATGTTGGTTTATTTGCCCTTCTCTTTATTGGCCTCTGAAAGAATAATCTCTGTTGGGAAAGGAATATATATACAAATTATTCAAGTTTTTTTTAATGGATTAAAGTTCTGGTATATTATTACAGTTACACTAATAATATTCCAATATTTAAAGGAGTAGTTTGACATTTTGGGAAATAGGCTGATTTTGCAAAGAGGTGATGAATACGGATACCACTTTAAATTCTACAGTAACTTACCCTAGCATAAAGACTGAAAACGGGGGAAACGGATAGCCTGGCCCTGTCCAAGGGGAGTTTGTCTACCAGCACCTCTAAAGCTCATTAATTAACAAGTTATACGTTGTTTAATTCGTACACAAAAAGAAGTATAAAAAAAGAGATTCAATGAATAAGACAGAGCCACGTTAGCTCTTTTGTTCCATTTCCAGTCTTTATGCTAATCTAAGCTAAGCAGCTACTGGTTTTAGCCTCATATTCAGTGCACATTAAAGTGGTATTGATCTTCCCACCTGACTGTTGGGAAGAAAGTGAATAAGTGTTTCTTCTGAAAAGTGATTTTGAAGCCTGAGTAGATTCGGGCTGTATTCACTGAAAACATTATCCTCCATTTGTCTGTAGATACTTACGTTTCACTTCCAGCTTGCAGGAGACCATGGCCTCTCCCTGGGCGTTCTTGGCTCTGCAGGTATACACACCACCATCGAAGGTGCAGGGCTTACGGATCTCGAGGGAGCAAATGCCCTGGTTAGAGATTTGACGAAACTTGGGGTCGTCGCCGATGACCATCTGATTTTTCAACCACTCGATCTTAGGCTGAAAGGAGACATTTTGAAAATATACTGTCAACTGTGCTGATTTTTTAAAACATCAGCAGTGATCTGTGGTGAACTTTTGAGATTTAGGTTCACTAGTGGATCGGTGTATCAGACAACAAGAAACAAATATTACCTGATAAATTGAATACAAATTATATCATTTAAGTATGAATTTTAGCACATTACAAAACTCTGACTATTGATGTTACTGTTCAGTTTTAGCTTCTGGCATTTCAACAAAAGTAAATTACTCGACTGCTGAAAACAGATTTTCAATCTGAACTGCTATCTCTGAAATTAATGTCTATTTATCATTACAACACTTTCCTCGATCACATTAGACATCCAAATCAACCAGTGTGCTCCCTTCCTATCCCGAGTTGAACACATTGCTAAAATTTCCAATATTACACATTCATTACAACAAAACCCTGTCAATCATCTTATTTTTGGGTAAACAGTTTTGCATGTGTTTTTGGACATGTTTGTGGTATTCAAGTAGACTGTCAGTCAGTCAGTCAGTCAGTTGTCAGCTTGTCTTCCAGTGAACTCAGACAGTCTGTGCTGAGTGTGACAGTAAGGTAGAATTGGAGTAACTCAAGTCTTTTCCTGACTTCAAGTATGTGCTGCTCTGGGTTTCAGTGACACTCTCGCGTGGATTTCCTCATAGTCGGGCTTCATGCAATGTGACTCTGGTTATTGGATTTCATCTCAGCTGATGCATTTCAGAACGGTTTCAACCGTTCCTTACTGATGCAAAAAACATATTTAGTTATGCGTTGCTGCTTACGACAAGTTTTCAAAATATGTTTCTTCTATTTTAGGAACACTGACATGTGATTTTAGAAAGTAAAGAAGGTCAAACATTTTGTAGGTATGTAGGTTATCCTCCGATGAGTTTACGTAAACTGAACATCCAGAGATTAATATTAATTAACTTACTTATGCAAAAAATTATTAAAAGTTAATTCATCAGTTTTCAATGAAATGACGTTGTACATTTTTTGTGCAGTTTGATGTTTTTATGCAAATACCAGAATGTGGAAGAGCAGGGTCTAAAATCTAGAGGGATTCTAAAGTTAAACTTTTGTATAGTTTAGTTTAAGTTGTAAACTAAATAGTAAAGTGAAAACTAATGTCATCTGTTGAGTCTTCTCTATCTCCACCTGATGGATGAGGTGGAGGATGACTAAAATGACGGACACATTTTCATCCATGGCAGTAGACCAAATACTGTATATTTGAGCCTCTGGCAGCGAGGAGATGCCTCGGCAGACGGTAATGATGTCATTGCAAACCAACACCTCGAACAAATGATAATGCTGCTAGTGCTGGTCATTTAGCCAACCTGCAGGTTTTATATGACAGGCACAAATCTGTGTTTAAATAAGATCATAGTTTGGATGAGTGCATGGTATCAGGATTCATTATGGGTTGCATAAGGGTGAAACAGGGTGAAGCATCTCTTAAGAGAGATTCTGGGTGCACAAAGTACAGCAGTATAACTTCATTGATTATTTAAATCTCCCTCAACAAGGTGACATGGTTAATCAGGATCTAATGTTAATGAATGCTCTGTATTCTTCTATACATCCAAAATGATATCTGCTGATATTGCTGTGCTTATGGAAATGTTTATAATGACTGAAAGTAACCTCTCTAATCATTAAAGTAAATCTTTCAAAACTTTTCATAAATCAATATAAGAATATAAGAAATCACCCGGAAAACATATGCCATTTAACATAAAACAATACAGCCTACAGTAGGGGTAGATAATTCATTCAGTTAGGTGGATGACTTATGCATACAGCCGATCTGTGCATCACTAGTGCGCAAAATCTCTCCAATCAGACAGATTCAGATGCTTTCTTCAGATGGTTTTACCGGGAGTCACCAGAGAAAAGTTGTGGATTACAGAGCTGATAAGAATTAGACAGAATTTATTCCATGTCTGCATGATCACACATCAGCTGGTTGAAGGCAGGGTGTGACACTGTGCCCTGCGCCAACATGAAGATAGAGCCCTTAGTCAGGTTTAATTGACAGAGATAAAGACAATGTAAATCCATCCACTCGTCTCTTCTGCTCAATATTTTATCCTACTTACTTACTTTCTTTCTTTCTTTCTTTCTTTCTTTCTTTCTTTCTTTCTTTCCCATCATATTTCCGTCTTTGGGTATCCATGTGTGAGAATGTCAGTCACACTGATAACAGTGCTGCAGTTTGGACGAGTGGCAAAAATAGTACCTTCTGTGATACAGCAGCATCTCTACTTAGCCACGACAGCACAACAGGCTATACCTCTTATCACTGTCTCTTCTTTGTTGTCCGTGCTTATCTATCCTCTCTCCCTTCTCCCTCTCAGCTCCCTGTGTAGTATCTGCCTCTATATGTGATATATGTGACAGCTCTTTATCAGAGTCAGCAGGACAACTTATCACACTACATGCCTTTCTGTTGGACCTCCTCAGCAGTTCACAATGGGCTCTGGACTCTGAGCCTAAGAAAAGAAAGCGGCTCAATAAACATGTTATAATGCACTTACAGCCCATGTGTGAACTTATTTAATTTAGAGAAGTTATATACATAGAGACAGAGAGGGTGTGAGATAAATTACATTATTTTATATAATGGTTTGTAATAATATGCAATTATTTGGTTTATAGTGATGTGTGAGGAACTTGAGTTGAGTGGTGACACTGAGGGATTAACCTGTGACAGCAGTTTCATAAGTATGGGGTCAAACATGGGTTAAGTACACATTCAGAGTATGTGGGTCTCCTATATGAAGGAGGTATTCAGTGCCTGTCTTTCCTTGGTCCCCTACAGATGATCAGTGGATATGCTTTCACACAGCTGCTCCGACTCGGTTGCTCTGATTGCAGAACTCAAGCCTGCTCGTCCACAGGGACAGGCAGGAAAGACTCATTTAGACACAGTGGGTCTACGTATATAGATCATAATTTCAGGACCAGGGTGTGAATCAGCAACTGTGTCCTTATTCTCAAACACAGGCATCCACTCTGTGATGAGCCAGGGTTTCACTGTATAAACCATAAACATACTGTACTCGCAGCTCTGGGAATAGCCAACACATGGCACTTTGAAAATCACACCAAAGAGCAGCAGTCCCTCCTCCGAGTCCTTGCGTTTTCAAATTCAGGCTCTTTTCTGTTTTGTGAGACTGTTGTGGAGATGCTCCCTCAAAGAAAATGTACATTTTAAAGTTGAATGTATCAATCTGCTGCACTTTAAGCAAATTAAGAGGGTAGATCAATGAAGAAGAACACATTAGTTGATAGAAATGATGATGATATGGCAAAAAAGTCCCACCCACAAAGCATGTTTTCAAAACAGTTCTGATTGACTGGGATTGAGAGATGCTTCACTGAAACAACTACAGAAAAAACTGCAGAAAACACACTGTTGTAGATAATATGTTATAAAATATTTTCAGTTCATTATGAAAGTGTTGCGGGACAAATTAGGCTGTGGTGGGCCACCACATTTGATTAATGGGAAACACTGAGGACAATCAGACAGGCTGAGTGCAGTCTCGGTTCTCGTTTGATTTGTCTCAACTACCCTGGCATGTGCAGACTGTGCAACCGCTGCTGTCCTTGATGAGAGAAGCCAAGGACAAATAGGACACATAATCAACTGCATTTCCAGCATGGCCTGCTATCTAAGCCGTCTGCGTCAGACAGACAACTGTAAAGATATGTTTAACCAGAGCAGTGCCCGCCAAGAACAGTGAGAGACACACGGAAACTTCACATAGACATACCAGTGTAAGCCCTGCCCCAGTTCTACAGTGGATCTTTATAGCAGTGACATTAATACCACATTTGAAGCAGTATACCACACACCTCAAAATGATTTATCAAGGTCCTCCATTGAGAACAAAAGTGTTTAAATATAGAATGACAAATGCCGTATAAGAGAAAGAGAATGCAACTTCCAACAATATGAGAAATATCCATAATCTCAATAAGACAATCTTCCAGATGTTTCCCCAGGGAGGATGTGCTCCAAACAACCAATCACAGGTTAAAATACTGACTGCTAGTAAGGATGGGAATCAATAAGATTTTTATTGATACCAGTGCCACTATCGATTCTGCTTATCGGCCCTATATTCTTTGTTGATTCCCTTATTGATCCCTGATCAATTATCTGTGTGGAATTTTTCAGCAATTTTTCAGAGTCTGAACATAGTATAGAAAGTTAGAGAGTTATAGTAAAGTTTCTAAATGCTTTGGACTCTTCCATTTTCTAAGTTTCCAGCAGCGCAGACGAAGAGAAGTTTGATGTCATTGTTTTGCGGAAACAGTCAGAAAAACATGCAACAACATGGCATTAATAAAAGGAACAGATAAGGTCAGTGGCATACAATTCCAATCAATGAGCTATCAGCCATCAGGACAAGATACAATGATATGATGTATTACGGAAGTGTTTGCCTGACCTTGGGGCATCCACGCACAGAACACAGCAGCTTGGTGGTATATCCAATGGTGGCAGCACGGTCACTGAGGGGGGTGGTGAACTTGGGTGCCTCGCTGAAGTCGTGCTCTGGGTACTCGGGAGGCTTGTAGACAATACCTATGAACACACACAACTATGTTAAGACCTAAATTGTATCTAATATTACAATACTTGTCTGTACTTGAAAGCACAGAAAAGTGCTTACTATGAAGCAGCTGCAGCCATGTGTAATACGTAGAAGTAGTGGTTAACCATAAGAGACTTGTGCCTGAAAGCGATACTACTGTGTGTAGGTCTTGCTGAATAGTGGCCACTGTGGCTACAATTGACGGTAGTGAGAAACTAATGGAATGAAGCTTTGGTGACAGGAAGATCTTTCCCCTCTAACTTTCTTTCTGTAGGAAATGTCCTATTTTCTTGCTCCAATCAACTCTGTAACCTCTGCGTCGCCGTGCTGTCACAATTGCTTTCATTGAGAATTCTGATTCTGACCAATGATCTTTCTTCCCGCGTCCCTCGAGCCAATCAGTCCTTGAACGCTGTTCTTTAAATATCACTGTGTTTCCGTCATTCGGTCTTAGAATTAGACTGTAGAATTACGCAACCCACTCTTCCCCATCACCACCTTGTCCCTCAGGATGATCTGAGAGATTGATCTGAGAGGTTTCATCTTCCATCTGTTGGCTTTACTCCACCACCACCCGCAGTGTCTAGACTCCTATCATCATCACAAGCCTATGCTTAATGAAGATACATCACGCCAATGGGGTCTAGTCACAAGTTCTTCCACATTTTTCAGTTGTTATCTGTTATACTCTTCTAGTTGATCTATCCTTATTGAAACAGTAGCAGAAGTGAAGAGAAATCATTAAGTCAGTAATTATCCAAATATTTAATAATGATTAAAATATTTGCCTGAAGTTACATTACCCACCATTAGCTACAGGTCATCCCAGACCAACTGAGTGTATTGAATTGAGCTGCGTTTTATTGCCTATGAATTACACTTTGTAAGAGGAGAAATGTGATATTTCTTCTCTCAAGATTGAAAGGATTGTTGCACATTTTAGATCATTAAGGAAGCAGAACAAGAAATAACAAAAGGAACACATAGCACCTGATTTGGATGTACAAAACCAAATGAGATATTCCTTACAGAGACACATACACAGGTAAATGCTGTATAAATACACAAAGGAACACACACACATACACACAGAGGAACACAAGAAGAGCAACATTTGCTCTGCCAGCTGTCTTAATGTTGTCAGAGCCTCTTCAAATGTATTTCAGTAGTAGCAGAGTGCTGGCCAAGAGAGCTACCCACTTATGATTAAAGCAGTGCCAAGGCCATTTCCACTCCTCAAGCCTTCACTTAAACAACAGACACACACACACACACACACACATACACACACATGCACACACTCAAGACTCTCACAGACTTACTGCAGCTCATTAAACTTTAAGTACCCACTTGTACTGAAGCTCTGCTACTAAAACTCTTTATCATATCGACAAATTGACCCCAGACAAATTAAGAAATGAATCAGGAAGGTCACCTGTCTTCTGGATGGTAGCCACCTCCTTGGTGACTGCACACGACTCACTGACGCCCACTTTGTTCTCGGCGAACACCCTGAAGCTGTACGAGTTGCCCATGATGAGGTCTGAGATGGTGGCAGTTAGCCTGTGGTAGTGATCCAGCACCGTGAACCACTCCTGCAGGCAGAAACACGTTCAGTACAGCACAGATAGAAAACTATATTGTGATTTGCCCTCATTAGATTGGTTATTACCAGTGAGCTATCAATCTACCCCATCATTAGCCTGATAACTTCAGGTAGGCAGTTAGATTTTCATTTTTTCATCCACTGTGATTTAACTCTACCCAATTCATTCTCCTGATCCCCTATTGAATTTTTCAATGCCTTTCACTTTCTCCATCAGTTTTTCTTTGCACCTTGTTCCCTGCTCATTTTCTACTTTTAATCCATCACTCCAACATTCCTTTTCTCTCTCTTTCTGTCAATCTTCCTCTGCTGAAGAATCCTCACTGCCTTATGAGTTTATAATCATTAGGATGCCGGTTTTAGACTAATTCTCTCTACACTACAGTCAGAGTTGGAGTGCAATAGAATATTTATGTCCTTGCATACTTTGTACACTTAAATACATAAATACTGTTTAGTTCATATCCCGACAAAAAACACAAATTTATCGTGATCACATACAGTTTTTGCATTGATTCGTAATTGTAATTGTTCTCAGTCTTCTGTCTCAGTCTTCTGTCTCAGTCTTCTGTTGGTAAATCGTCTCATTGTAGTCATTCTGAATTCCACTGATAAACAAATACAATATCCATTTATCCTCCTTTCCCTGCAGATTAAAAATTAATTAAATTCCAAATTTTTCCGATTTACACTTGCAATGCTATGTGAATGTAAAGCTCCTACTACAAATTAGAGTTACACTGTAACTGCAGAAGCTAACGTGGAAATCCTTAAAAAATGCAACCACTTCAGCCTGTACTGCTCATGTTTTCTCCTTTAAGTTTCTGATGCTAGTAGAGATTGTTCAAAATGAATAAAACATGAAGCAAGTTGAAAACACAGTTACAATAGGGAATCTAATTAAAGCATTACAGGCCTGATCATATACATCTGTGTAGTGTTGTGGTAGCACTATTAGCGTAAATAGGAGAAATAAGACACTAGACTACAAATCAAAACCCACACGATTGGTATCTACAGCGGGATTCCCGTTAACTCCCGTTAATCCGGTTTATGCCTGCAACTTCAACCAGTCTGGCAATGTGATTGGCCTGATGTATTTGTATCAGAACATCTGTCATACCCCAGTCTTCCTGTCGGCCTTCTGGACGGTATATCCAGTAATCTCTGTATTGCCATTATCCTTGGGAGGGGTCCATTCCAGAGCAGCATTGAAGCCCCAGGTGTCCACCAGCTTCGCACTGGCAGGAGGGCCGGGCAGCTCTGAGGAGACACATTACTGTAAGTGTTTATAAAGGATTAAAATCTTAACCAGTGTGTACCTCAAAGCACAAAAGGTGTTTGCTCCCAACCCAGTTAGATCAAAAGTGGACCATATATTTGTACCGTAATGCCTCTACAAATTTTAACAGCAGCAGCTGCCAGCAGGGTCAAGCACTCCGAGGTCAAAGGACATCATTGTTAGAGGTGTGATGTATGTTGGCCAGTGCTTTGAATTTCTGCTGGATGCGAGTCACGAGTCTCAGAACTAACAAGTCAACAAGTCAGCTGCACAAACAGCTGAGCAGATTCAACAGGGAGGTCTGAAATAAGTCAACATTTGCACGTCGCACGCACATGTGAATTTATGCGCGTGTTTCAAAGTAAAGGTATGCATGTGTGACTCACCCACGATCTGCAGGATGAGGTTGGCTTTGTCTTCAAAGCTGTCCACTTTAACAGTCATCTCGTAAACGCCAGAGTCCTCCCTCTGAGCGGTGCGGATAAACAAAATGCTGTCCTTGTCACTGTTCCTGATGTTGACCCTCTTTGTATCCAAAGGCTGACCATCCTTAAGCCAGGACACCACAGGTTTGGGCTTTCCCTGATGAGTTGGAAAAACAGAAATAAGAGGTGAGAAGATGCGAGGAGGAGTGTAATGTCTGCCAACTGTATACGTTATTCGTGGGCTTTAAAGATGGTGTGTGTATGTGCCGGCTTACAAGATAGGGTAAAACCAGGTTGATCTGCTCTCCAACCTGCTTTACATAGCGAGATCTGAGAGCGCGGGGCATGCGGATCTTGGGTCGCTCTGAAAAAACAAGAAGTCAAGCATGTTTATTTTCTGCTTCATCCATATGTTTGTTTTCTATTTTGATTAACTGATATGTTGCATATGCTGGTAAACTTGGTATACATCACATCAACTGGGCACCTAAGTGAAAAAAAATCCTGCACTTGACAACATTAGCTAGCATTACCAGCTGCAAGTGTACACTTCCCTTTTGTGTCTTTAAAGTGGGGTCATGTGTGCTTGAAATGACAATCAACAAGACCTAAATAGACCAGCCACTGCAAGGCAAGGCTGATAAGAGAACATGACTAAAGGAGCTAAAATTAACCCCCAAGTTAGATCATACTGTCCAACGATCCAAACATACATTTTAATAGTTTTGATAGCACACTTAACATTTGTTATTAATTTTATTAGACTATTTGCTCTTTCAGAGATAAACTGATACGACACTGGGAATCTGGGAAAAGAAAGTCTGTGTGTGTGAGAGGAAAAGTACAGTATCTGGGTAGAGAGAAGCAAAAGAGGAAGACCCTGCATCCAGCAGCTCTTAAAATAACTTTGGTGATGAGACACTGGGATGAACCCCAACACGTGTTCCCTCGTGTCAAGCACAAAGAAGCAGCAGGAAGATATCATCACTTTCAACAGATCGGAGTGGTTAAACATCACATCCAGATACACTGAACTATACAACAGACTGGAAACTGTAGACACCCAAATCAAGTGTGATAACTGCCGGTGTGCTCTAGCTGCGAATAAAATAATATGGATTAAATTGCACCGGGGTTGGGACTTCGTGCCTTTGCCACTATGCCGGCTCATTTCGTTCAGGCCGGGTGCTAAGTATCAGGAACAGCATCCCTGCGTGTTTTTGCATAAGCAGCAAATGTCTGAAAAGCTCTCAGGGCTTACAGGATATATGAAACAACCAAGCTGCTGCCCTCCATCACATCTCTAACCCCTTCTCCTCATCCACTCAAAATATCCTCTTATTGCAATCCCCATCAATCTCCTGTCCATCTTTTCCTAGCTGTCACACTTCCGCCCTCTGTTGCTCCCCATTAAACCTGGTTTCTTGCCCAGTGTGTCCCATCCTCCTCATCCTAACATTTGTCACCATAACACTGCTGGGCAGGTTGGAATCTGGCTGCTGGAACCATCATTCCCCATGAGGATCAGGTCTGCCTCCAGATTTGGCTCAAACAGTAATCCGTGCTAATCAGCACACTTCCCAGCAATGCCCAGAAGTGTTGATGGCATTACGGCATCCAGCAGCCAACAAGTCCTCCTCCAAACAATCTATAATCTGTCTTTGTCTCTGGATAAAGTGTCTTTGTGGGGGGCTTTCAGCAAATGTAGGACAGCATGTCTTTATCAGAAGCTTGTGCATGTCGATGGTGTCTAGTCAGGACAGTGTGGACTGACACACAGCTGAATTTACCCCCAACAAGCCACCCACAATCCATCAATTAGGCTCATGTTTCGCTCCCCTCAGTTGACCAGCAGTCCTAGTTTCATTTCTGCACTAAAGTTTCCTGTTTGTTTGTAGCGGTTTAAACCCTGACCTGAGGAAATATGCTCAGAGACAGTAAGCTGTCCTTATTAAAGTAGATAACTGGGGCATGTGAGCTCAGGTCTACACCACACATCAATGTGACTCAGTGTGAGGGCTGATGGAAATTCACCACTCCAGTAACAAAACCAATCTCTTTTTAAACAAATACAGGGTGGAAAGTATCACTTTAGTAAATTTTTTCATACGTTTGCTTTTCATTTTTTGTGGCATTTTATCCTTTATTGCAGACAGAGAGATGAGAGCAAATGAATATCTGTGTACTTTGAAGCCTTTTACTGGACTTCTTAATACAAACCAGCATAAGAGGAACAGTGCTTAATATTACTAATTACATAGATGTGACTTAGAAGTGAATTTAACCAAAAATTTTCAACTCTGACGGTTTATACCAACAAGACACCAGCTTCATGGTAAAGAAGAGATGTATTATAGAGTAGGGCTGGGTAATTTAATAATTTATTATATATTAAATAATAATTTAATTGATTTAGACTCTAGTATATAAGCAGATTTATTGAGTTTGTATTCAACTTGAGAAGACGAAGGATTGCTTTCTGAAATGGAGTTTATTTAAACTTAAAATTTTTATAAAACGTGTTTAAATTTGTCAAAAAAGTATCGTTTTGGTATCAGTACCAAAACCCAGACATCATTCTCTGCTGTACTTCAGCACAGTGGTGCTTTGAGTGAAATGCTAACGAAGCATGCTTACAATGACAGCGCTAATATGCCGAATGTTTAGCAGATATAATGTTTGCCATCTTAATTTAGCGTGGTAGCATGCTATCTGTTTCTAATTAGTGCTAAACATGAAGTACAGCTGAGGCTGATGGGAATGTCATCAGTTTTGCAGGTATTTAGTGAGTGACATTTGACCTTAATGGCACTCCATTAAACAGTTGCTGATTTGGTATTTCAGTCTGGACTAGTAGAGCGACACTCCACATCGCTAGTGTGGCTGTGAATTAAACTGATTGTTATATTATCCACAGTTTATTTATTGTAATGTCTTTAAGTGATACCTGTGCCAGACGACAGGACAGCTAGAGAGCCACCGCCATAAATTTAAGTGAGTGAGTGACAGTGAGGTGACACTGACAGGGTTGAAGTCAGTAAAAAAATATGGCTGCCAGATGGCTCATTAGCCAAATATACTCCTTTTCCCGACTCAATCTTCTATTAAATCATGTTGAGGATTGATGCAGCTGTAGTCAGTAGATTATATGGTGCAGCGGTGCAACAGATTTCTTATACTATAAGAGGAAAGACTTTTTATCCTGGCCTGGATCCAGTGTTTTTCTATGTCTGTGTTCTAAATAGGTTGTATCATGTGTCATTTTAACTGCAATCAGTTCTGCGGTTAAACATTTTAATTATAACTTTAACTGTCCTCTTCTGTATATTCATATGTATATCGGTGTATGACTGTATATAAATGTATATTGGACTGTTTGCTTAATTTTTATATTGTTTTATGTTATTAAAGCATTTAATCATACATTTTGAGGAGTGCTAAAGTTTCTGATTCCTGTTAGCTTTTTTTTTTAGTCCTTTAGGATGCTACCAGGAAGAAACAACAGGTCCAAACACTGTTTCTATTAATTTAATAACAGAAAAATTCAAGAAGAAGATTTGTGAGCGTATGACCTTATTTTCCTATTTGTCAGTCCTGCAGTAACAGTGACTGAAGGTGTGTATACAAGTGAAAGCATGATTTACAGCTAATGAAAGGTCTTGTCAACACCTGTGGGATTTATGTGCATACATCTGTGCAGTCCATCTGAGGCCTTGGCAGTTAATACCAACCTCTACCTCCCTGGCTGCAACATGAGTATTTTAAGGATAGGTCATAAGTTACAACTATCGGGGAGCTCCTGATAAAGAGGCTGGAGACAGACATTTTAAAAGCCGTCTTAAAACCTGGTGAAAAAACTTCAAATATCAACTGCATGATTTGTAGGGACTATTTGTGGAGAAATCCAACAATATATTTGGACATATTTGGACACAGTTATATTCACACACAGCCCCACTGATGGAAGAAATTCCTGCAACGTCTTTGGTTCTCCAAGTAGTATTAATGTCATAATTTTTTTATACTAGAAGAAGCTTACTATTGTAGTTTGGACTCTTTTGAACTTCCCTTTAAGCAGACATTTGCAAGTAGTCTGTTGTGTGACTGAGTGCGACTGTCTGCTACTCACCGGCAACCTCACGGATTGGCACAGGCGCAGCAATTGTACCGGGTTCACTGCGACCACCGGGGTTTACAGCCACCACGCGCACATGAAGCAGGTCACCGGCTGTCAGACTCTTGATGCAGTAGCGGTTAGCTGGGGTCAGCTCCTCGTTAGCTACAACCCAGTCTGTTGCTGCAGGGAAACCCAGGGTTCCAGTTAGTTTGCAGCTTTTAGTGCAATTTACACTTTACACATCATGATAGGTCAATAAACTTTTATTTCTAAACACACATTTCCTGCTGAAGCTTTTTTCCATTTGGAGAGCGTAAAACATCCCTTAATGGGGCATGTTAAGTGGTTTATCGCCTGTCGACACAAGTTTACAAACAACCTGCCCATAAGGAGTACACTTTGGCCGTCATGATGAAATCTCAGACGGCATGCTGTCATCTGAGCAAACCAGCGCTTCTAAAAGTGGTGTCAGGAGATACAGTGACAGCCGGTGAAATGCTGCCTGCCGTATACGGCCTGGACCCAGCTATGAGTCTATCTGCCCTCTGACACTCGGGGGACAGGTGCAGCCTCACACACACATACACCGACTTACTTCCATCCTTGCAGTACTCGACCGTGTATCCGTCCAGGCCGGAGTCTCCAATGGTCTCCGGAGTCTGCCATTTAATAGTGAGGCTGGAGTCGTTCACATCTTCCACAGACACTTCCAGAGGAGCGCTGGTGGGGACTGAAGGAGGTTCAAACAGAAGTATATAATAGTAAGATGAGATTAGATGACAATGGAATAATTACCCACGGACTCTCCATTCTACAACATGATATTACTTGTCAGACTTTCATTATTAATTAACAAATTAAACGATTAAACAATTTGAAAATCGTGAAAAATTTCCATCACAATTTCTCAAAGCTCAAGGTGACATCTAAGACAACGAAAAACAGCAAATCTCCACAACTGAGAATCTGATAACAACAATTTTTGGCATTTTTGCTTTAAAACAATGATCCAAACTTCAAAGTAATTACAGATTATTTTCTCAGCAATCAACTAATCAATTATTCAACTAATATTTTCAGCTCTAATAATGTGGGATTTGAGCTAAAACCTTTTTACAATTATATCCATACATATCCATTTTCATAAGAAGTCATCACCTGAAGTAAAGCTGAGACGATAAGATGGTGAATGGATTGAGAGAAAATTAAAATCTCCAGTATTTTGATAGAATAAGGCTTCTAGTGATTTTTAAAGCTTCAATGTGCCTTGAAAAAATTAGGATTTGGTGTTTTTTTTGTCGTACATAATATCTTTGGGTTTTGAAGAGAAATGTGTCCCTGTCATAACATCTGTCATTGACCTTGACTGGGTGTTCAAACCTGAACCAAGCTAACAGCAGAGCGTAAATGTTGGTGTTACCTGCAGGAGGTGGGGGCGTGGGGGCCTTTGGCGGCTCCTCAACTACGGCAGCTTCTGCTGGAGCAGCTAGCGTCAAACAAGCAGGAGGTTAATGTTGTTTTTAGACACAAACACCAGCAATGAGGACCTGATAAATATCCAGGGCATCTTTTCCATATCAACCTGTCAGAATGTTTTCACTGGAAAATATTATCAGGAGGTTCAAGGTTCTGTTAACAATCCACTAGTCCTCACAGCTGGGGGAAAGCATGATGGGTAGCACTTTTTGCAGTCGACAAGTGATTCTGTTGTTTGTGTGGTAGTTTATGTTTACCATCTGTGGGAGCATCTGCAGCAGGAGCATCTGCAACAGGAGCGTCTGCAACAGGAGCGTCTGCAGCAGGAGCGTCTGCAGCAGGAGGAGCTGCGGCGCCGTCTTCAGCGGCGGGAGCGGCAGCTAGCGTTAAAATGCCATTAGGAAAGCCACTAAGTAGCTTACATTATGACATTAGTCATGCTGGGAATCAATCAGTTTCAAACTAATTTGATCAAGATAGACACCACTGAAGCAAGCAGCAGGACATAGCAGTGGGGACATAGCTTTCCGTATTCACAGTGACGAGAACAGATGGTTTTATGACCTCAAAAGCTGACTCCTGAACACATTTTAGAGACACTGAAGGACATTTGCACACAGCAGAAGACCATTATGATGTGTGCACAAAGAGAAACCTCACATGTTGGTTAAAAACTTACACATTATGAAGATTTACAGACAGAAATACCAGTAAACACAACAGGCGATGAGCCAGAAACACACACACCATGTGTGGTGCACAGTGGGACACAAACACACATGTCATGCATTACAGTGTGTGTGTGTGTGTGTGGACCGCCTGCGGTGTGTGTTTACCCTCAGTAGGAGTCGCTGAATCAGCGGCTTCCTCGGTGGCAGGGGCATCAGCTGAAGTTAGGGGTTACATGTTAGCAGGCAGGCAAAAAGTCACTCAACTACATCCACTACTGATATAATTTACCAACCAAGGTCTGGAGTAAGTAAGAAAAGATGTAAGTGGTTCAGTTGTGGATTTTCCAGTACCTGGTTGGTGGTGTAGATATCACTGGTGGGTCCAGCTATTTAACCATCATATAAGTCCCATGCATTTACTTGTTCTGTTACTTGTCACAGGAACTGTTGCTGCAGGGACTTCAACAATGGCTAATTTAATACAAATGCAATGAAATGAAAGGCCAGGAAATAGGGATGCACCGATTTATTGGTATTTGCCTTGTTGACTGACATCGGCCAAATGCATGCACTGAAGTCAGAGGCTGATGTTTATCTGTTGTTTTTTTTTACAAGCATATACTACTAAGCCAGCACTGGCTTGAACTGCACGCAAATACTGATGTGCTCCATGCAGCAGAGCGGACAGTGAGCGGCTGTTTGTGGATGAGAAAAGAAATAAACTGAGCAGCAACGAGGCCGAGATGCTTATCTGTGTTTCCCTGGCACAAAAGTGCGAAACTGAAATGTCCCAATCGGTGCATCCCTACCAGAAAATGATCATTAATGATGATCGCAATGTGATTTACTATCAGCAAGTTTAGTGTATTAGATGTGAGATACATGTTCACTGGAGAAGAGATCTGCAGTACAGACATCTCTACACACTCAGTTTTACACTGTACGGATGGAAGACATTAGAGACTATAATTAAAGTCTGCGCCGTTTTAACTCCACCATAAATAACAGTACATTTTGAGAAAGAATTTCAACAAGTATCACTTTGGTTTTAAGAGTGATTGAGGATAGAGTTGCTGCAGCAGCCCTTGTTTCCAGAGCTGATTGCTGTATGTGCAGTTTCTTGGGGTCAGGAACTGAAATCAGGAGTCAAAAGACTACAGATTTGTTTTGTGGATGTATAATAAGTTATTGAAGCATTTCTAATTCAGACCCAGCATAAAGCATAATGCAAAAAAGGATACTGTGCTGGATCTTAGAGGCCTTAAATCATAGGAGACATGGTCCATAAGTGCAACATAACTCATAATATTGCTGCTGTACTGATGCAAACATGCAAAAAAAGAAGAGGAAGATTAGCTAATGTATGTGCACTCATTGTCAGTTTATTAGGTGCAGTCTGATACAGTCCTGCAATAAAAGCAACACACACGAAGGTCATCATGTTCACTTGTGTTGAAACTGTGTCAGAGAGGTGTTGATTCATGATATAAATGGGGTGGACAAAATAATAGAAACACCTGTCTGTGTAAGATAATAAAATTCAACAGAAGCGCAAAGTGGCTGCAGCCTCCAAATGGATCAGTTCCTCTCTGAAACAGTTTCAACAGAAACTGAACATTTTAACAGTTTCAACAGAAACTGAACATTTTAACTTTTAGGTAAGTGAGGATTTGTTCCTAATAAACTGGGCAACTGTAACCTTACTTACAGCAGTATTACTCCAAGATAGCCTAACTAAGACTAGTGAAGGTAGTTTAGCACAACTTCCGCTGTAAAGAGGGATTTTCAAGGTTATTGAGATCCCTTCAGTCCCAATAAGGTACCTGGAGCGGCTCCTTCAGGGGTTTCTTCTGCTGGGGCGGCGGGGGCTGCTTCTCCCTCGGCTGCAGGAGCTGCCTCTGCCGGTGCCTCAGCGGGAGCGGCCTCGGCAGGTGCAGCCTCCGCAGGTGCAGCCTCCGCGGGTGGAGCCTCTACGGGAGCGGGTTCAGGCTCCGGGGCGGGCTCAGGTGCCTTCTCGGCAGCCTTCTTGCCTGGGGACTTCTTGATGGGGGCAGGTTTTCCTGGCATCGTGCTGATAGACGGCCAGTCCTCTGGATGAAGGATCCAAGAGGGTCTTAGGTAATATATATAGCTTGAGGCTTGGTGGACAACTCCTCCCATTCCCTGACTTTAATACCCCACTCCCAGACATATACACCCCCCCTACCCACTTCAGGCACATCTTCATCTCTGTTTGGACGCCAGCAGGAACAATCCTGGCTTGTTTTAATGATTAACATAAATTTAAAGTACAAACAGTTCAATCAAAATAAAGTAATGCCAAATAAAAAGCAAAAAGCACCACATACAGCCCTAATAAATAATCACATACAGTAGTAATAGCGCCATCTGGTGGATAATATAAAGTAAACAGAGACAGTTAGTGAAGTGAAGAATGGCATGACTTTATTGTCCATTGCTCAATGTTAGACATATGGGATTTGATGTGGTTATAGAGACAAGCCATACAACCATTATTAGGCCCCCTTTTAAGCCAAGTGCTCCTTCCTACTGGAGGAAGACAATAAAACCACCGAGGACGCCCGCTTTCTGCATACAGGGGCCATGCCTTCTCTTAGATCTCTATGCGTTTTAGTGATTGTTGTCGCAGATGCACTGACTATTTACAGTGTTTACAATAGTGATGTCATGTACAAAAGAGAAAGAAACCTTTACAAATATTTGCATAAGAAAAACAAATGTCTGCTCTGAAAAACAACGTGAAAAGAGGAAGATATCCAGTTATTAAAAATCCCTCCCACGATAAGGTTTAAGTGTGGTAGGTCCAATGAAACAAAACTTTGGGAAACACACCAGGGACACATGCGTTGACATTACATCTCCAGGCTTATATCTGTTCTTACACTGCTTCCGACTCTCAGGCAACTCATCAAAGATGTCAAGTCTTTCACATTTAAGTTTAAAAAACGTCACAACCAGCAGCCCAGTCATCACAAAACTTCTCATCTATTGCGGCGTTAACTGACACACACATCTGAACTAACAATCTTGTTATCACCGTTACCACCAGCCAAAGGTCACAAATGATAACCCACTCTTCACCCGAATTTGGGCATCAAGGTGACGACATTAAAGTGACATCAGAGTAGGCGGGAGGAAGTGATGACCTTTCCTCTGAATCGAGGCCTCAGTGTGGTAGATTACAGCAGCTCAAAAGCAGCTTTAGGCCAAACTGTGTTTCAGGCACAAATAGACTTCTAGGCATCATGTCTCTACTTTACATCAGCACCCTGTTTTTGGAAAGTAGAGGAACATCTGGACAGAATATGGCAGTCTGAGGTACTTCAGGGTCGAGGGGCACATGGCTGAGAGGTTTAAGAATATCTCTACTACCTACAGTTTCCTCCTCTTACACATCTTTTTATGTTTTCTTCCTTCATCACAAGAACAGTCAAGGTGTGAGCAATAAATACTCTCTGTAATCTAGTACTCTAACATATATTATTTGCAAACAGATGAAGGAAAGGAACAGGAGGAAGCCACTTATAAATTAATATTGACCTTTCAAAAACCCCAGGCTTTACTCTTAAAGTCTAAAAACAACGTGTGAGAAGGAAACTGATTTCTACAGCTCGAAAAAAAAAAAAAAAAAACGTTATCAAAGATATAAAGAGCAAATGCAATGAGGAAGGAAGTGATGGCAGTTTTTTTTAACCGATGGTATCCACTTTCCCCTTGTGGGATGATGAATGTGACAACAGAAGTCTATCACCTCTACACTGTCTGCTGCTGTCGATAATGGTATGTTAGGTATGTTAGGTATACATATGTAGGTAGTTGCTGTATACAGACGATTGTTGAAGATGACTCAGTATAAAATCCTACAAAACCAAGATTTTCAAAGCTGTATCCTCATCTATCACAAGAGAATTTTGTGTTTTAAAACCAATATCTAAATACAGAATATACGCAAGCATAGCCAGAAATGGTCGGCCATTTGGCAGGCTAGATAAACAAGCAGGTTTTTCTTTTTTTTCTGTGTGTTTACAATGCAGTATGTTGAGTAGGGCCAGCGTCTGTTTTTGTGGTTATGATAACCAGTATATTACTGTAGGAAACCAGTAGCTACGGAGTCCACTGATGATGACACTGTCTTTATGTCTTTACAGACTGACCCTAAAACAGATTTATTATTCCATTCATTTTTCACCCATGCATGTTACTCTTACAGCTTCACAGCTTCTCATAGTTGATCCATTAATGACACAATGGCTGAAACCAAAAGAAAAAACACATTCAAGGCCATTTTCATAGTTGTGTTATATTCTATACTGAGCACCTTTAAAAAATCAGAAAGCTCACCAGGAAAGCACTGAGGCAGAGAAAAAGTAGATGCTGCCACCTAGAGGAATTACTAATGAACTGCATGATGTGACCAGTCCCCCCCCACCCCCCGTTTGATACACAGTCACTGACACAGCCTCCTAAAATCCAATTACAACAAGTAGAAAATAAAGTGCATTTTTCGCTGTGGCGAGTGACGATCTTACTTTTGAGGAAATCAGAGTTACTTCGGAGGTGAATTTCTTTGTGAAATCCAGCATGCGCCTTTAAAGAAAACCAGTACAATAAGCACCAATAGTTGTGATGGAAGTTGTGGCAGTCGAAAGCAAAAAGAAAAGAAAAGAATGGGTCTTAATCAATAGGATTATAGGTAATATTTTGCATCATACTATACCGGTTACCATGCACTTGCAGATTCAACAACAACCCATCTGGAACAAATTGAGGGCAGAGAAGAGACGAGTCTTTCCCTGACATGATCATCACAGCTTCCTATGAAAGCAGTTAAATTGTCTTTCCAAAGTTCTGATAGCAGGGCAGAGCAAACCCTTCGTCCATAATCACTCTCTCTCTCTGTGTAGATCCTTTACATTTAGCTTTGTAGCTGCTCACTGAGCACACAGTAAAATTAATTATTAAGTCTTTAAAGTCTCCTTGGGACTGCACCCGCCGTGTCAGCTGTAATAAAGAGTCTATAGTCCCACAGCTTGACTGACAGTCGCATGTTATTCTCAGAGTGTAGCCTGCAGAGAGGGATCCAGACAGCCCTCCCGCTCCGGAGACTCGATGTAGTTGGCTGACTCCTGGAGCTTCAGCAGCATGGCCATCTAGGTAGCAGGACACAGAGATAAAGAGTGAATTAAACTGTTTTGTTTTACAGGGTTAGATTAAGTTTAGTATGTGTCAAATCTTTAACACTAACTGTAAGTATTAAGGCAACTAATGATTACTTTTCTTATCCATCAACTTGTCGAGCATTTCTATGATTACTGAGATAATTGTTTGGCTTAAGAAATGTCAGAAAATATGCCCATAACAATTTTCAAGAGCTCCCAAAACTTCAGATTGGTTCTTAATCTTGTCAACAGTTCTTGAAAAGATTACTCAGCCACTGTCAATGCAAAATTCTGCATCGCTGCAATTTTTCAATTTAGGAGGCTATCAAGTCTGCACATGTAAATGAGTCCAGCCACCGTTCATTTGATTTGCATAAACTGCTGCTAAATAAGATCTGATACATTATTCTTCAGACGCTTGTTGAGCATGTCTGAAAAGCATTGCAACACAAAATAAAGTATCTTCTGCTGCTGAACTTTAAATATCGGTTGAAGAGAAGAAGCCTTTGGAAGTCCGAGCATGTATTCATCCCACAAGAAAAAGCTATATGTGAGAAATAAAAATTGAATGAGACATGAATAAGGTTTATTATAAAATGTTTAAACATTCAAAATATAATACAACTGTCTATGTAATGGATCCCCACTACTGGCTGCTTTACTTGTTTTACACTGCTCTGGACATGCTGTGAGCCATTAAAAGGTCAGAAAAAACACATATCCAAGCAGGTGGCCACTGCGGAAAACAGACAGGTAAAGTCATGTGAGTTCATCTTTCCTAATGACTTGTGTCTGCTGAGTGCCGAGTTCTGGTAAAGAAACTTTATAATGTAGTGTATGTGTTTTTCTCTTTCACTAACTGTTTTGAACTGGCTTGATCTGGCTCATCCTCTGTGTGTGTCTGATAAAGCAGCGCTGCAAATTTTAAAAGGCAAACCTGAGGGAAACTTCAGTCACAATTTCCTCACCCTCAGTGGTCACTCTGTGGTTACAAATCAAGCGCAGCACCTATTTGTATGAATTTCCATTTCCTCTTACTATATATTGTGCCTCTGAACAACCTTAAAATAAATATTGCATGAGCTCAAACATGCAAATTTGAATCTGTGCACAACTTTAGTGGAGTCCTTCAGTTAATAGAAACACAATTTGACTGTTTAGAACCTATAAAAGGGAAAATATATCCCTTAGTCAGACTGATTAACAGACATCTGATGACCGAATTGCACACTTTCACACCTATGCATACTTTCTGCCCCCATCTTAATGAAAACCTTCACTCTCACCAGTGGGTCTGACTCCAGTGTGCTGAGTGCAGGTGTATCTTTGGGGGGCTTCTTCTCCTCACTAGATGGACCTATACTGGGGGGAGGTAGGTGAAAAAGCTTGGACTGGTCCTGCTGTGCATTGGGCCAAGGGAGAGTCCCTCTCACCCACTCCACGGGATCCTCCCATACCGACTTCTGCCCGTGCACCTGGGAGGACAGACAGAAATATGTTGTAAGAACAACATCTGACGAGTTACTACTAATGTTACACTTTGGAGAATGTTCGTGTGAGTGTTCACCTTAATGCCGTCTTTGGCTCCCTCCTGCAGGTATGGTATGATGGAGTGGTTCCACAGGTCAATGAACCACTGCCTGAACTCTGCCACTGATACTGGGCACGACAGGAAGAAGCATGGACCTGAGGAAGCAAAAATGTCATGTTAACTGACTTCCTGTTTCAGATCACCCCAGTTCCCTAATCGTGTGTCTGCCGTCTCTCACCTATGAGGAAGTCTGAAGTGCTGTGCTTCTCCAGGAACGTGTGGAGGTGGTACCAGAGCTGAGGGACCCAGTCCAGTACGCGAATGAGAGCCTGGTGGCGTGCGGAGTCCTGCTCCTTCTCCTGGTAGGCTTCCACTGCTTTACGGTGCAGGTACCTCAGCAGGAACCCATTAGCCGGTTCCACATTGTTTGAGAACGTTACCATCCTGTGGTCACATACAAGAAATGTTACTTTTACATTACTTGTTAGCTTCATTTTGAATTTAATAGTGTCTCAAAGTAAGAAGGATTTTGTGCTCACCTGAAGCTAAGGTGCAGTCCGTGGTTTGATGACATCTTCACAGGCTGATTGGTTGTTCCAATGATGTAAGGACTGAAACATCAACAGATACAAATATTTACTTTCATGAACCCAATATTGTTAACTCTTTTGTGAAATACTACAGCAGTTTGAAGTGACTCACCATTTGTGATACTTGCAGGTGAGCGCTCCATTCACAAGCTCAGTGATGGCTGCTGAGTCACTAATGTCATCTATAATAACAACCAGCGGGAGTTCTCCTCCACTCTCTCTGTCGATCTGGTTTGCTAGATCAGACAGAAACAACTGCAACTCCTGTAAAAGTAATGAAAGGTGTGTATAAATTCGTATTTTTGTATTTTCGTATTTGGAGATAACTGACTGACAAAAATCCTGAGTCGAGTGTTACCTTCTGCGTCTGACGATGCATGTTGAAGGTGACTGCAGCGCTTCGACCCAGAACACAGGTCTCCTGGTCAGCCTCAGATGAGTCAGTCCGGCTGCGTTGCAGGAGGTAGTGAGCCAGATGCTGAGCCAAGTAAGTCTTTCCCGTCCCGCTGGGCCCAGACAGAACCAGACGCCTGTGCTTCAGCAGCAAGCTGATGTAGTGCAGCATCATCGGCTTAGGAATCATAGTCTCAAACACCAGTGAGTCAACACATTTTTCTCTAAGACCTGTAGAGGAAGACACAGGGGATGCTGTGAGTCACAAATACTTTTATTTATTAAATGAAAAGCACAACATCAGCTCTTCAAGTTTACTTTTTAAAGTGTCCTACCATCTGAACATAAAACTGTTTCTATTAATGTTTGCATGGTGGGAAAATTAAATTGAATCTTGCTTGAGGGAGGCAATCCATCACAATTATGCTTTTGTTGTCTTTATTTAATTTATTAAATTGAATTCATTTTTGTCAAAGTGGAGTTATCTTCAAAAGGTAATCCAGTGGGAGGCATGGACTGTTTTGAAACCTCATCCACAATTTTAAGCAAAACTACTAGTGTTGTTTCTACTATCAGTCAAGGACACTCACTAACCTTTCAAGGTGACAAATATTCGAGCTGAACCACTGCCGATACAACGATAAGGTGAGGCTTGAGGTTTGTCCCCTCCTATCAGCCTCTGCCCTCCCTGGCTCAGCTGGTACATGTGCAGAGAATCACAGGAAAGACCCAGGCTGGCTGTCGGGTCCACTTGAGTCAGGTAGTCCTGGCGAAAACAAAAAAAGAAAATAAGCAAGGACTAATCTATCAAATCACAGCTATAGTATTAGTTAGAACCACTAATGTGTACACAGTGACAGAGGACAAGCATTGACTTACCTTGAAGGTTTTAGCTATAAGAGAGTCGAGACAGGCCCAGTCGGTCCTCGCACTGACAAGCACTGAGCCCAGGAAGTACTCCTGCTGCTGTTTACTGTCCTACACAGAAAGAGGGAGGGAAAGAGAAAGAGTACACAATCTTCCAGCTGTTCGATTTAAAGCTGTTGACATTGGGGCAATTAAAGGTGTTCTGCGTTTACCTCAGCTTGATCTGCAATGCGGACCAGTACTCGAGCAGACACCTCATCCAGCTGGGAAGACACACTCAACATTTCAACTGGAGACGCATCTGAAAGAGTAAGGGAAAAAAAACGATGAAAGAAGCACAGAAATACAACTTGTATGCATACAAGTGCACGTACAACTAAAAATAGGTTAAATTCTGTTTGTGTCTTACCTGGATCTTTACAATCATTCAGACTGAGGCTGAAGGACTTGGTGAGGGACATACTCATCGGCTGCCTCAGTGAGGGCCCCAGGAGTGAGGCCAGGCCTGAAGGCTGGGAAGTGGAAGAGGTGGGACCGATGCCAGGAAGATTTAGCTGACTTCCTGTTTTCAAGTGGTCATTCTCCGCCTTCAGGTCCTCCACCGTTGACTAGGACACAGGCAGGTAAAAAATACTTTAAATTCAAGTTATATTAACACACAAATGCAATATTATTTATACTTCAAGTACACAGTATGCTTTATTTAACATGTACATAGAGGAAAAACAAACCTGCATGTTGTTCATTGCTTCTCGGAGCTGCTCCAGCTGATGTGCAGAGCTTAAGGCCTCCAGTCGGATGTCTGTCAGTTCTCTCTCCTTGACCCAGAGTTCTGAACGTAGCTCTGATACCGCCGTTTCCTCAATGTCTCCCTCTTCTGTGGTCTCCATGATCCTAGAAGGGACAAGATGCAGTCATAAGAGCCAGACATCCATGAAGACTGAACTAGCTGTCCATGAGCTATGAGCTGGAGTAACTTGTTTGTGTACTTACACAGAGGAGGTGGCAGAGGCAGAGGATTTGAGGGATGAGGACTGGATTTCCCCTCCTTCTAACCCCTCATGAAGCATCTTTGGGGAGTTGGGAGCTGAGGAGTCGGGGGTGGCGATTTCCTCAATGTCTGAGTACGTTTTGGAACCTTTCTTAATGCTGAATGCCTTGTTGAAGGAGCTCCTCAGCTACACAGAGGAAGGAGAGAGAGACAACTGAACCAATATTCACTGATTACACCATTTACTACTAAGAAAGGTACAAAAAAAAAGAAAAAGGAGGTGTTAGCATTGTTAATTTGAGACATGCTAAACATTAAGGGGATGGTTTGTCATCTTCAGAAATACTTATTCGCTTTCCTGCCATGAGTGAGTTGAGAGGATTGATACCACTCTCATATCTGTCTGTTAAGTAAGAAGCTGAAGCCAACAGGCAATTAGCTTAGCTTAGCATAATGACTGGAACCTGGGGGAAACAGCAAGCCTGGATAAAGATGTGTCTACCAGCAACTTTAAAGCTCACTTCCAGGTGTATTGTCATGCCAGGCAACCAGCAGGGACTCCAGAAAGTTACTGTACCCAGCCAAGAAATAGTTACAGCACGCAACTCCCCACATATGTACGCATCAAACAAATGGGATGTAACATTTAGAAGTGCTTCTAGGTGAATTTTGGTGAGCTGTTTCCCCCCTTTTTAGTTTTTATGATAAGCTAACAGGCTGTTTATGGTAACTTCATATTTAATTGACAGACATGAGAACGGAATCAACTTTGAGTTAAATGAAAGCAAATAAGTATATTTCCCAATATGACAAACTATTCCTTCAAGCTTCCAGAAATGTTCTGCTAATAATAAGTTAACGTTGGTGAATGTTTTGCAGATTTAGTACCCAGCTGCTGCGTCAGGGTTACTTGGTAAGGCTGTACAAAATTTTACTGAAGGACAAAATACACAATAACGCATGGTGTAACAGAGGAGAAACATAGTAGAAAAAATGCAGTAAACTTTCATGATTTAACTGTTTATGGGACATCATGTCTGCTGATTGCCACTCTTAACTGAATTACAGCCAACCATTCAAATGGGAGGAGGTCAATGAGCAGAGATGGAGGATATTTGATAGTATTGTGTTGCAGCTTTAGATGGTCCATCATGCTGTATGAGAAAAATTATAGAGGCTTTATAGGGACACAATAACTGCACTCACCTCAAAGACCTAAAACAGAAAAATAACACAACACAGAGGAGGGAGAGACTGGTCATACTGTTGCTACTATGTCATTATCACTGCGGAGAATGAACTGAGCATTGACCAAACATTGCCTCAGACGCATTGTGAGTTCTTACCCAGCTCTTTTTCTTCTTCTTCTTGGCATCTTGGTCCTTCAAGCTGCCCAAACTTGACATACTGGTCAGGCTGTTGAGACTGGAGATGCTCTCACATGAGTTCTGACGTCGAATTTGCATGTCTAGTAAACAGGAAAACTCGACATCAAAAGAGGCAAATGTACAGAGACACTGGCACAAGTGCAGAGAGACAAAGGAAGAAGAAAAGCAGAAACATTAACTGGTCAATTCCAAACCTTTCATGTTATCTGGGTTGTTTAAGGCTCCGTGTATGACAGCCTGGGCTTCTTCATTCTTGGCCCTTAGAGCTTCGATGGTCTCTCTCAGCTCAATCAGCTCTGAGTCCTACACAAACATTTAATACATGTCAGTCAGTTGGCCCGTGTTGCTGTGTTTTCTATTCTCTGCATTATACAGAAAATGAGGTCAGCTCAGAAATTGCTTCTGGTAATAGACAGTTGTCAAGGTATTCCTCAAAGTAATGAATAGTTCATCACCACTTCACTCATGTTTAAATTCATTGTCCATCATAACCTCATTCATGCTCATCTCAGTTCAGTGCTACCACATCTCTTTGTTCTTTTTTGAATATATATTAATTGTAACTTAACATTACATTAACTTTTTTACAATTATCTATATATAATATTATTCTTATTTTTATAAATCGCTCTTTTTTTTACACATTCTAGTGCTACATTTTGTAAATAATTTTAAGACACTTTCTGGGACTACACACTATTTGTATGATGATGTACATATGCGACAAATTGAGATTTATTTTGATTTTAAAATAATAAACTGCTTGGCTATATGGTTCTGGAAATGGTAATAAAAAAAATCACTAATCTTCTATCTACAATAGACACTGATATATTTGCAGATTCTTTTGGGGAGAAGTAGTATTGTCTGATGTTTTAGTCAAACACTACGACTCAAACCCACGGCATGAGCTGATACACCTGGTGGGCTTGAGCCTCTTCACGTTATCAATTCAAAAGGACAAAGAGTCGAGAACAACAGAGCCCCTCTGTGCAGCTCATTGTGCGCTAAAGTCGATCCCACTCCACTCTAAATAGAGCTGCACGGCCCATCTCCTCAAGGTTAAAGAGCCTGTGCTCCAGGCTGAGCTGCACAGGTCAGTGCGCTGGCACAAACAACAAAGACTTTTTCTGGAGCGGTCGAGACAGGCCTTTCAGTGGGAGCATCAAGGCATGAAGCACTAAGAGAAACTCCTCACATTTATACACACACACACACTGAACATTGCCTCGGGCACTGATCAATTTATTCGCACCAAAACATATCCAAAGCCTGAAGAATGTAGGAATGTGATGTTTGGTGTGAGTGCACGTGCAAGCTCTTTGCACTTATCATTCAGCCTAAAGTGAAGTTTGTTTTTCACTGATCTTCTGTTTTTTTTCCCACACTAAGTCACCCTGTGGGGCTGCAGCCTGGGCCTCTAACCTACATTCAGCTCCTCAACTGCAGGCTGTGATCAAAGTCACCTCGCTCCATGTTAGCACAACGCTGCCTGCTCTTAGCTGGCTGCTAATAAGACGGGCACAATGGTGGAATGCGGCTGGAATTCAGGTTTGTGTGTGTTTGTGTTTGAAAGTGTGGATGTGATGTTACCTTCTGTTCGTGGCTTACTGACAGACTCTGCAGCCGAGTGGTCATCAGTGTCAAACTTTGCTCAAAGGCAGCCACCAGATTGGCCTGCTTGGAAAAGGTGACAGACAAAATCAACAATTATTTTTAATTAAAATTGTTGTCTATAATAGACAGACAGATTTAAATGTACTGATTTCTGATCTATATATATCTCAGATTAAACTGGAAATCAACACCCATACAGGGGCAGATTCAATAGATTTCCTCTGCCCCTTTATCTTGCACATATGAGGTGCTAAAAAGCTGAATAACACACAAAGGCTGAACAGGATGTCTCCTGTGGAAAATGTACCTCCTCCCTAATCTCTCTCTCACACACACCCATTTTAGCCCAGAGCAGGAAGGGAAAATTACTTTCCTTTCTCCTTTATAGAATATATTAATACAGTAAAATAATGGGTACGGCCCAGTCATTAATCCAGCACATAATCATGTTGTGATCCGTGCATCTGTTTTGCTTTTCACTGCCCTTGCATAATAAGGTCAAACAGTATGAAAAAAAATCTCAGGGGACACACACACACACACACACACACAGAAACATTTGATTGATGTGTGCTGCATGAAGCCGTGCATAATGCCTGCGCTGTATTTCTGCACTTGGACCCATGGAAACGCTGACAGGGTGGTCGTACAGAAACAACCTTGTAGAGTAGAGAGAGAAGGCAAGGCACCTAACAGTGTGTATGTGTGTACCGAAGCTAAGTGGCTTGGGGCGAAGTTCAGGAGGAGGTTAGCATTATTCAGGCCCCACATGCATTAGAAATTAGCTGAGACTGCACAGAAATGATCTATGACTGACATGCTACAGCTTAGATGTTGAACCTCTCTCTGTCTTTTTATTATTTTGTATGAAGGGTAAATTTCCTTGCTAGGTGTGAGAAATAGAGTTGTGAAGAAGGAAAGAGAGAGGATTGTTTATATATATATATACACACATACACACACACACACACACACAAACACACACATATACAATACATTTGGTTGCAATAGTGACACTCCATTATAATAAAGGAGCGTCACCCAGTGCACACACAGAAAAAAACCTGTTGGTAGGATCAAATCATTGTTGTTTTTGGTATTTTTTTGGTAATAGCATAACTCCTGCAGCAATAAACTGGCAACATAATCTGAAGGAAGTTTAATGTACAATGCAAGTCTTTTGTGTTTTTCCAGAAACAAAAGAACACGGTTGGAAACACCCCGACATTGCTCTTTCTCTGCCAGCCATCTCATGCACGAGTGGTGTCTTTATGAGTGTCAGTTACCTTTGCCTCAGGGTAGATGTCATTGAGGCGGACAGTTCATCAAGATGATTGACAAGTATTAGGGTGTGAAATTGGAGGGAGGGGCTACTACAAATTCTTATGTTGCCTCAAGCTGAAAGGTTGCATATTGTAGCATTTTTTTCTTATTTAAGCACAGATTGACTGATTTTACTGCCATTTTTTTTATTATGACAGGCCCTAGCCATTTTTTGTTTGGTTTGGTTTTTCATTTATGCAAAACTGAACTTGCTTGTCAATGAGGGCAAGTTAGGTATATATCCTCAATTTCATTGCTCGGGACATTTTAAATATCTATTTGAAAATAACTGTCAGTTTATGTTAAAGTTAACAGGGAAACAGAACATACGTTTGCTGTTAGCTGTGTCGTCAGGTTAGACACTTTCTCCTGGGATGATTCCAGTTCCCTCCTCAGCTTACGGATTTGCTGTGAAGAAAAATAATTCGTTAAATTTTGAAAAAAATAAGGTTATTAAGCTGACAATGGCTGACAATACACAAGTGACAAGCTGAGTGGATGTTGTTCTTGAAAGGTATGACAGACTTGTTCTCCCACAGACAATGGGGATGAGAGTGATGGATGAAAAGACAGAAATGAGACAGAGAAGAAGAAAGAGCAGGAAAGAGCACGCCTACCTCTCCCTGAATCCTTTCCTCAGCCTTTGGGAGCAGAGGGAATAAAAGTCAAGATGTTAGATAAGACAAAAGGAGAGGAGAAGAGAGGAGAGGAGACTAATAAAGTATTGGGCAGACCAAGGGAGAAAGTCTTGTCTCTAATGTGTAAAACATACAACAACAACACACAAACATCCACACATACTCACACATAAACACATCCCACACCACACCACATACTGAGCTGTAGCTACCTGATTCTGCATGCCGCCCACACTCACCGAAGAGTAGCTTGACGAGGCATTGGAGGCCAGGGAGAGTACAGACCCATGAACTGAAAAATATTAGGGGGAACAAAATTAACCTAATTAGAAGTTCATTTAGAAGAAAACTGCACAACAACAATGAATAGGTCGTTATATAACTAATAAATAATTCAGTGGGCTCACCCTCATCGGGCTCCTTGTCCCTGAAGGACCCAGAGCGAACCATTCCCATGCTGCGAGGCCTTTCGGCCAGCGACAGTGTGCTGCCCAGCGGAGACGCTCCATATAGCTCCAGAGAGGCATCGTGTGTCGGGATGCTGTTGGATCGAGTCATCCTCGGAGGTCCACCAACTGGGCTGGGTACTAGTAAGAAACCAGAGGGGTTAAAGGAAGGAGTGTTAGAGACAGGGTCCAAAATTAACACCTGCCAAGCGCTAAATGTCGGTAGATTTTAGGTTCGGCTAGAAAAATAATTAGGGTCACCTGCCCCACACAAGGGCCAGGTTTACATTGCTTTGTATGTGTTCCAACAGAGACTGATTTGACCCTCACTGTCCACCGTACCTACCTACATTAGCGAACGAAATCAAAGCAGCTTGCTAATTTGTGCCTTTTGTACGCAATGTATTACACATTCCTGGTGTTAAGCCATCCAAAAAACAAAACATAAAGATAAATTAAGATAAGTTAAGTAACAGAGGTCATTGTTTTTGGGACGCAGGAGCCCTGAGATCCCTGAGTTTTATGGCCAGTAAAAAAAATATTTTCGTAGCATAATTTATGTGTATGTGAATGCATATATATATATATACTCACCCATACTGGTCTTGCGGGGCAGGGAAGTGGGTGAGGACAGCAGTGGAAGATTGAGCGAGTCTGTCATACTGAGAATAGTATGAGAATGTCTCCTCTCTCCTTTCTCCTTCCCTTCCTCCTCAACCTGGGAAGCACTGCTGAAACTACACAGAGAGAGGACAAAGTCAGTGAAAGTGTACTAATGCCAATGTCAGACATTATAAAATGCATTATTCAAAGTTCAGTACCACTTCATGGGAAGAATTAAAGTTGTTGACTACATTACTAAACACTTAAAAATACCATATATCTGTTTACAGCCACATTATAGTGTGTTGTAAAATATCATATATTAAATGTGTATACAGTGCTTTTGAATGCTGTTGTAAATAAAGGAGTTTAAGTGTTACTCAGTACCAATATTTTTCAGGGATTGGAAAGACAAACAAGAAGTTGCCAAAAGGAAACAATGAGATACACTTTTGAAGAGATTAGAACAGGATTAGAATACTGACAGGAATGATGAGGATTAACACAATCTGTCTTTCATTGAGGATCTTATCAATGGGATCTCTGTTTAGCACAATTAAAGGGCTGTGGCCAAATTGCGTCATACTATCAGTGCCTGACTGAGTCTGGTGTATAACAGTGTATGTGTGCGTCCACTTACCTTAAACCTTTCTTTGGCAGCGTGTTTCTGTCTTTCTGAGAACTGCGGAGATTAAACAATGTCATTATTTAACCACTGGTGCAGGGAGTTATTAAACTCTCAAGAATAGGCAGGGGGCACAAAGAAGCACAGTAAGACTGGCAGACAGCTGGTGTCAACCAGTAATTATGACTTCAGTCAGTGGGGCTGGTACAACACTGATAATAAGCCTGTAGTAATAATAACCTAGAAACCCCTCAGTCTGTGTGTGTGTGTGTGTGTGCATGTGGTTGCCTTAACATGTTGTTAGAGTTTATAATGTACATTTTATTTTTTAACCTTCTCATGAAACCATATTCTATAATGTGGACAATACTCATCTCATAAAGTATTTACAGTGCAAGATTAATTAATTAATTAAATAAATATTTTGTTTTTGTTTATTCTGATATATGACTCTTATTCTCATCATGTCAAGACATTTTTGTGGATTGTTATTATTTTGTCTTTGTAGGTGTGAATAGGTGTTGTTTCTAGCTCTTTATAAATACCACTGCTGTCAAAAAATGGCACCATGCCTTTTCCAGTATGAGCAGAATTTTACCATTAAATGCCAACCAAATAACCTTTTCACCTGCCCACTCAATAGGGGGAGGGGAATTCATGATTGTAGTGCAGAACAAAGTGAATAAGATATCAAAGACCTTCCATGATCACGCCGCCTTCCCTGAACAATAAAACATGTGCAGTTCCTCAGCTGACCAGTAGGTGACGCTACATAGCAGTATTACCAAACATGAATAGCAAAAACGTCTCCTTTGCAAGCATGTGCAGTGTGATGTGATTGGTTATCTTTCAGTAGAATTGTATCTTACCTGTCTATGAGAGACAGTGAGACTTTACTTCCAGAGCTCCAGCTGGCAGGAGGGCCTCTGTCTTCCAGTCTATCTTTGTCTCTGGACTCAATGGTGGTGTAGCCTCTCACCAAATTCTCCCTCTCCCTCTCCTGGGGCTCGGGGGCCAGACTCATCTGGAGCGGCAGTGACTCCAGGCTGCGATGCAGCCCAGACAGACGAGGGTAAAGCAGGGGAGAGGTGCTTCCTCCGCCCCCTTCAACCCCGAGTGATGAGACCTGCCTGGGCCCCAAGCCAGTCCCCGAGCTTGAGAAGCAGGCTGAAGAGTTCACATTGAGTAAAGGGGCAGGGCTGGGGGTCAGACCAGGGCCAATGGAGCTGCCTACTGTGCTGGCTAGGTCCTGGAGTTTAGAGTAGGGAGGAATCTTAGGTGGCAGGGAGTCATGAACTCCCATCTCTAAGCTGTTGGAGTTAAGCTTGTCAAGCTGGGCCATGGATGAAGGTTTTGCCAGGCTGCGCATCCCAGATAACCTAAAGACAGAGAAGGACAATATTAAATGGTTCTTCTTACTTTGTTTTGTCTGTGGAAGTGTTTGGGTGTTAAATACTGGGAAATAGTATAGTATAGTATTTGTCATAGTATGTGAACCCCTGTACCTGTGTGTGTTGGGTGAGGGTAGATCCATGCCCTTGCCACTGCTGGGAGGTCTCAGCCCCTGCATCTTCCCCCCGTTCTCTGAGGGGGTCTGAGCAGGGCTGCCTTTCAGAGACCCACCTCCACACTCAGAGTCAGATACTACAGCTTTAGCTTTGGCCCTCTCTTTCTCTTTCTCTCTGTCTGTCTGATTCACAGGACTGGGACTTGGGATCCCACGACCTCCTGCTTTACTCAGCCCTGTTCCAGAACCAAGCCCTGTGGCGGGTTCTTTGAGCCTCGAGCCCTGGGGTACTGTGGTGGAGGGTTTCATCAGCCCTGAGCCTGTGTCCATGGTAGTGCTCATTGGGCGAGCTGAGCTCGGCCGGGTTAGAGTCAGGGTGCTCGTCTTTGCTGGGCGAGGCAGAGAGCGATACTGGAGAGACGTCCTGGCATTTGGAGATAGGAAACCACTCTGGTCACTGTTTGAAACATCTAGACTTGTCTTGCGTCCTGCACCACCACCAGCCCCTGGTTTGACGGGAATACCCGACGTCTTAGGAATCTTCCCCACAGTTGCAGAGCCGCAGGGTATGGCGCTGCCACCTGTACTCATCACAGCGGGCGTACTGGCATTGTTTGTGCCATTACTGGTAGCCGTAGGAGGCTTTTTGAAGCCAAAGTTTCCACCAGTTGAGGGCCTGACCAGGCCGGATGGAGGTTTACGTTGCTCTACAGCACCGGTGCCATTTCTCTGGTCTTTACCAGCATCAGAAGATGAGCGCTGAAGGCCGGATGTCTTCACTGCTAACCTAGACTTATCCATCGGCTTCCCGTCTGACTTTACTGAACCTAGAGAGGTAGAGGAAAAAAAAAAGGAAAAAAAACATCACTGATGAGTAGTTTGAACAGTTTAAAGCCTGAACAATCTCTGGTGGTGAGTGAGACTAACCAAGCCATATTAGGACATGATATCTTATCTGGACACCTACATGGTCTGACTGTCTGCTGATAAAAACAAATCTCTGTCTGAGCAGACAGACAGTGTGTAGACCAGACTTTCAGCCAGCTTCACCCTCACACACACGCTGTTATCATGCAGTTACTCCTCTTTTCCATCCTGATGAACTAAAACAGTTTTCTCTGGCTTTCCAGTAAGTGCATGTCTGCGTGTCACAGCTGCGGAGTGCTGAGATTAACATGTGCAGTGTGGCTGTGGAAAACTTGTGTTCATATTCACAAAGCGTGTCTGCGGGCGCAAAACTACATGAAACACCCAGTATAACTGAATTTCTCCACTCTTGAAGCCTCTGAAGAAAGAGGGTGGAGTGAGAGATAACTTGGTAGAACGGAGGTTAAAGGAAAATTATGTGATTTTGTCCCCATCTGTACATTTCCCAGTTGGCAAATTAATTGGACTTGTTTGGAAGTTCTTATGTGAAAAAACAGTCAATTAGACACATGTGCACTTTCTGCACCACCCACACAAGCGCAAGCCCATACTACCCACGCTCTTAATTTGTATCTAATGGGAGTTGTTATGGGAGGTTTATATACAAGGCATTAACGGAGTCAAAGAACTGCTGTTGAATGAGACCCACCGGCGTGCTGCCTTGGGACATCTGGAGTCACTTAAGGGTATTTATAAACCCGCAAAAGACACACACACACACATATAGGGTCAGACATATATACCACACACACTCACAGTTCTCAGTGATTGGATCTTATAGGAATGTGACACTGACAACACATTACGCCTGGAGTTCTTTTGTAAATGTGAAAATTGGGTTTACATGTCAAGTCATAAACTAAATCCATCGTCTAACCGCAATGATGGGTGTTCCAAGAAATTTTTTTAAGCTGCAGAAACACACACTGTTGGCAGTGACAAGCAAACACACACACACACACACACTGACAGAATCCAGGCGTACATATTAATTTTGACCTAAATGAAGCCTGATTTATTGACACTGGCTGTGAAGATGGTGGAGCTCACAGCTTGACACAGCAGCGTGTGTAGAAGAGACTGTGAATCACTACATGTCTCCACACAAAAAGGCCTGCATGTCTGAAGAGACGGAGATCTGAACAGGCAGGCAGACAGACAAATCCTTTGCATACTTGATGTTAAAGGAAAATGGCTCATCTATATTCTCCTCCCAGAGTCTTCTATTTAAGGCCACTGTGGTAGAAGAGAGCAGTGGGAAGAGGACAGTATGGAATGATGTATCTACACACACACTCTCATGTTCCTGTTTATCACTCCCAGTGGTTCTGCTGGGGAGACGAGCCGCCTCATTTCTAGACTCCACAATTCTGCTGACACCGTCTCCCATCAGCAATCACACCATCAACACGTGTGCTTATATTTGTGGCTGTTAAGAGACAGAGCGTATCAGTGTTTATTTGTGGGTATATGAGAGATTTGTCAACATTTGTTACAGACAGGCAGCTGAATGTATCTGCAGGTGTGTTCCTGTGTGAATGCATGCGACAGAGAGGAGAGAGAGAGAGAGAGAGAGAGAGAGAGAGAGAGATACATAACAGGAATTCTCCCAGTGCTGACAGAATGATGAATACCTGCAGTGTCCCACTGCTTAACTACATACTAATTCTAGCAAGTTTGTGGTACATTCACATAAAAAGTGTCATATCATTATGCTTACTAGATCAAATTGATGTTTATCTGTACTGTTAATGGACACTCTTGTCCCATAATGCAATACACAAGAGAAATAGAGGCGATGCCCAGCTGGGAAAAAAAATTTAACACATTTTTAATGTTCCCAGGCTCTACCAACATCTCAGTCTAGTCAGTTATTTTTATAGCCCCAAATTTGTCTCGGAGGGCTTTACAAACTGATTCACATACAACTAGCATCAGACCTTCAGTTTGGATATGGAGTAACTCCATAAAAGTGTAAAAGTCTTTGGAATTAAGACAATTTGACAATGTTATCTTGTGCAATGTGAACTTATGATGGGTGTTTTTTCTATTTCCTTTCATTTTATATAATTAACAATACATTTTGACGTCATAACTGATTAAATAATAAGGAAAATAATTGTCAGTTGCAGCTCTAGATAAGATAAACCAATCTTGCACTTATCACAAAAAAGTACAATATGGTTAGTATACTATAGATTAAGTATACAGTATGGAAATGCTCACACTCTCTGTGACTCCATCAATACCTCAGACATGAAGACACACACATAAAAAATGATACACGCACTCACACAATCCTACCAAATGTCAGCGATAAACTGATCTCAATCTTGAGCAACAAAGACCTCTCTAACTATCGAAGAATGTCTGCCCCTCATTCGGGTGAATTAATGAGCTCCTCCATGCTGATTGATCATCTGATTCATTACGGTCTCAAACTCGGAGGCAGCTTTGATAGCGGATTCACACGGTTCACATCAATAACAATAACAGCCTGGCACATGGATCACAGGCTGTTTCGACACACTTGTTTGGTATCTGTCATTTCAACAGCTGGCAATGCAAACAGAGGACAGTCCCACAGAAAGAGGTCTGTTTACACAGACACTGCCTATCTAGACTGGCACACAACACGTCAACTAATATCCTGTTGTTTTGATTGTCTTTATGTATGCGTCTATGTGTGTGTGTGCTTACATAAACAGCACACAGATGGTGAGCTTAAAATGCAGCTGCACAATCACCACTATTGTGCTCTCTGTGTGTGAGTGAGAGTGTGTGCGTGTGTGTTAAGTGGGTGACACTCTTCTGTAAGGTTGGCACTACACACACACACACACACAGACACTATTACAAACACACACACTGTCTTTGGTCCAGTTGTTTTGGGTACAAGGCCTTTATTTAAGTGCTATAAATTGTCTCTGTCCGGCACAAAAATAAAGATTGGATAGGAAAGGCCGGACCAATAGGAAGAAAAAAAACACTGTTGGTCAGTGTGTGTGTGTGTGTGTGTGTGTGTGTGTGTGTGTGTGTGTGTGGTTGGCTGGCAGGAAGGGAGTGGGTGGTGATGGGCGTTTGATACATGGCACCACTTTCTAAAGGCCCGGAGGGTGGGCTGCAGCTGTGGATGAATGTGTGGGACAAAGACAGAGTGTGTGTCTGTGACTGTGTGTGGGTGTGAGCCTGCCAGAACGAACGGAATATAGCCACAGAAATGTGTCAGTCTGCTCAGGTTATGAAACCATTTCAAGTGTTGCTATATATATTATACCTCACTATATATGTGCGTGTGTGTGTGTGTTTCTCCACTCACCTGCCACTTTCAGCCCACTCTGAGAAGTGTGTGTGATTGGGGAGGTGACCCCCACAGGTGGATTTCTTCCTTTCTTCAACATATTTCCTTGACCCAGGGTCTGAGGTTTCTTCAGTTCGCCCCTCCCTCCTTCCAGCCCCTCCCCCTGCGTCCGTGTCTTTTTCCATTTATTGGCTGATTCGGACTTGAGACTTCCTGTGTCGTAGACGCTGCTGCCCTGGCTCTTGCGGCTGGGTTTGGTATCATCAGAGTCCCAAGACAGACCACTCTCCACCAGAGATCTCTTCTCTGCGTCCGTACGCATCTAGAAAGAGACAGACAGACACATGCTTAGAGACGCTGTCAAGAAGTGAGTGTGTGAGAAATACAGAACATGGAGCCAATAATTATTTGTATGTCTCTGGTTTTTTGCTATATGGGCATGGTTTTCCAAATCTAAGATGACCCATCTAAGTATTGTTTGACCATCATACTGGCAACAAAGCGCTGCTAAAAAATGATAGGAAAACCAAGTTTTCCTGATGTCACATAAAAACTGTAAAAGGCTTTTATGGTGAAGTTAGTAAAATGGAAAGACTGCCACACACTGGAAACTGAAAGAGCTATTATAAGGTAGGCTTGATTCGTGACATTTTGATCAAAACTGAGGAAGACTAGAGGTTTACATGGATCTTTATATCCAGCGCCTGTCCCACTGAGGTTCTGGTGAATGTAAAGTAGCCACATAAAAGCTAACTTGGGGTTAGTTAAATTAGCCTTAACCCAGATTTGTAGTGTTATTTGAAGTGCTATGGATGAAATCCCAACAGCTATTAGGCTTGTGTGTCAACAGATCTATCTCTGTGACAACTGAACAAACTCCATCTGCTTATGAGGACCATGTGCTACGGCTGACAGTTCTGAACTTGTGAACTAGTGAGTTATATTTGGATATTTAGCCAATTCTTTTTACACAAGGAAAATGGTATGGTAAAGAGCTGCAGACAAAACCTCTGGCATATACAGTATAATACGGGTAGGCAATGGCTTTTTGTGTGCCACTGCTAAGGTTAGAATAAAATACAATTAAATATATCTTGACCCAACTTTAAGAACTGTAATCCCTGTAGTCTACTTCAGCTACATCTTTGTTTTACTTAAAACTCTTGTTTCACACGGTTGATTCTGGTTCACAATCCATGTTTAGTTTGAGACAGTGGGATGAATGAGCCAATGGAACAACTCATCGGATCATTTTATGCAAATCGTTGTGTCCATTGAGATTAGTACTTAGCGTCCATCAGTGGTCAGAGTTTGAAAAAAGACATATGATGAGGTGTGTGAACTCAGACTCTGTCTCATCTTTATGCCTTCCGAGCAGAAAACATGTCTAACTGAGTCAACTCCAAAAACACACTCACTGATGTCTCATCTCCCCAGACTAAATCCTTCAGTATGCTCTATTTGAAAACTTCAAAAGAGACAGCAGGGGTACAAACACAGCACACAAATACAAAAATATTAGATTGCACATAAAGACTCACACACACTGACCTACACAGACAAAACAGACAACACAGCCTAAACGTAATACAATAAAGAAGAATGCCAAATGTTTAATAATCTAAAGGAAATGTGAGGTCATTATTGAACGATCAATGTCTTCTGCGTGTGTGTGTGTGTATGTAGTGAGTCTACATGTGGATGGATATGACTAGTTTTCACAGAGACCCCTTGCAGGAGACTGACAGTTACACAATGCATCACTAGGTGTGTGAATGTGAAGCTGGGTATGTGTGTGCGTGCGTGCGTGTGTGTGTGTGTGTTTGCCAGTTCAGGACATTGCACCCAGCGGTTCTCATGAGGACTCATATTCTCAATTCCTTTTTTATTAAAACCAATAGACCCCATGGGCAGGTTCACATCACATGAGGAGGTGGTATGCATGAGTGTGTGTGCATGTGTGTGTGTCCTGTTTGACCAGACCTTGTTGATAAAACATTGTCATTTCCTCACACACATTCCCTGATTATTGAAACAGGGGGGCTGGACACATCTGTCCAGATAGCCGTGGCAAAACATGGATAACAACACAAACACACAGACAGATAGGCAGACACACACATACACACACAGAAAAAGGTATTGGGAAAACAAGGTGTATTAACCTGGTCCACCTCTATGTGGAAATGAGGAAATCTAAGTTTTTGTACCACCTACATACACCTCTTTCTGCCCTTGGTTCTCTCTTGCACTCTCAACTGTCTATTCTTTGTGCCCTGTTTCTTCATAACCCTTCTCTCCTCCACCCTCATATCCTTACTGAGTATATTATATAACATGTGGGAGAGATGAGGAATGGATTTAAAGTCGGAGTTATCTTAGGGGATTAAAGTTAAAATTTTAAATGAACAGAAGCAAAAAGAGGAAAAGTTATAGAGGAGAAAACGGAGACAAAGAAATGGCTTTAGGACACAAAGAGAAACCGATTAAGAAAAATATCAGCTGAGAATGGGGAGAGAACAGGGCACCATGTGTATTAGACAATGTGGGGTGCATGATGATGTGATAGTTGGTTGCCATGGAAATGATGCCATAGGGGGGTAATGGTTGCTATGACTCCTGCAACTGGGCGTGGAGGGAGGCGCCCTGGTTCTTGCGGCTCGCTGGCCCGGATGCAGGACTGCAGATGGCCCCTGCATGTGTGTGTGTGCATGCAGATGGCTACGTTCTAGACCTGTCCTTCAATATACGGGAGGAGACAAAGACCCGCACTCTCAGCATCCCTGCGCTTCGGTTGCTATGGTTACACTGATTCCCTTTCTCTCTCTCTAACTCCCTCTGTCTCTAAAATCCTACTACATCAGTCACATAAACCACATTGCGGAGGTGTGACCTACATCAGACACTGTGGGGAAACACACATACACACACTGTCTGGAACCCATAAAGCTACAGATGGATCTTAAAGAACCTCAAGCAGAGCTGCAGACAGGATTTTAGAAGCACTGAGGTCACGAGTCCCAAATCCTCACATCCCCACAGCACATTTTTAAGACCACACTATACATATATCAGTGCACTTCAAACAAACATAATCACTCAGGGCAGTTGTTTCTAACTCCACTCAGTCAGGCTAATTACACAACTAAGTTCGGCCAAAACTGCAGGCTCTGGATCAGCTGAATCAGGTGGGTGAAATCCTGGCGAGAAATAAACAATTGACTCAACCAGAGCCTCAGCTGGTATAATTGAAGTCCAGACTTTTGGAATGATACTATTTTTGCCTGTTTTTTATGTAGATCAATGAGCAACAACTACATCTGCAGTTACACTAGCTGATCATTTAAAGCCATTTCTCTCTTAAACCTCAGAAATAAGCCTGGTTAGCTCTCAACACAGCTCTAAAAACCAGACAAAGGACGAAAAGCCCTATTGAACAATGCAGCTGTCCAGCATGCAGCGTGTGTGGTGCGGCAAACATTGATCATATGTGATAAATATTATGGGTGTGCGTAGAATACTTAATCAGGCTTTGTCTCTAAAGCAAGTATCCTGCTGCCTGTCTATTTGTCATTTGAACACTGTCAGAGCATATGACACATCATTCAGCACCTCATCAATACCTCACTTAACAGCTTAATCCATACTACTGTATGCTGAATGCTTAAGTGTGTGTTACTTACCACTATGGCTGAGTTTCTGCGGGAGCCAATGGGAGTGGTAGGAAGGGAGTTGAGAGTGGGACTCGTGTTGAACTCTTCCGAGCTGAGGTTGTCCGAGCCGTCACTCAAACCACTGCTGATGGAGCTGCTCTCATCCCAGCTAAAGAAATGAGAAAGAATATCTGTTAGATAATATTCATATATTAAAGCAGTGATTCTGTGATAGACGGTGATATACAGATGGTCACCTGCCAACTAATTTTTGATTTGGTGCCTGCCCTTTTCCAGTTTCCAAAGATTCTCAGTTGGTTTTGTGTCAGGTTAGTGCTCCTATTTTTGGTGCACAAATTTGGTGTTTCAGTAGAGTCTCCTTCAACTGGCAATCAAGCATCCACCTTTCTGAAAGTGTCCCTGATCAAGTCAATGAATCCTTTCCAACTCGTGCAGAAGCTAATTCTGTTCCCCAGCAGACATCAATCAATCACACACGACCACATACTCACACAACCAAGCATACCTGACAAAAACAAAGCAATCTGTGACAGTTGGATACTGGATATCCCCTTGAGGTTATACACTGCATGAACTACTGAAGCTCCACCAGCTCAGTTACATCAGCAGTTAGTTTATTTGGCTCCATGTCTTCCAGTTTGTCTTTTGATTAAATATTCATAGACATAGACCTCATTTATGCTGCCTGCTCTATATACCCAACTTTCACACTGCAAACTGAAATTCGGAGCGCTCTCGACATCATCTCAACCCACACATACAAAAATAGCACTGAAGAACATATACACTGATGCATGCGCCCACGGGTGCAGGCAGGAGGGGAGTCTGTGCCAGGACTGTGAAGTCTGTCCACTTGGCACACATCTGCTTGTGCAATTGTTCTTGAAATCCAGACATAAACAAATTGGGGGTGTTTTAACAGTGATAGCCATCCCTACGATTTGGTCTAAAAGTTGTGGGTCAACTGTGGAATTCCCTCAATTTCAAGGCTATTGATACACTTTGCCATATACCTCTTTAACAATACATTTCTCCATTGCTTGTATGACTGTTGAATGGCAAAATTCAGATTGGATTTTTCCTTTAACAAATAAATTGTAGTTGATGTTTGACTATTTCCTGTCTGATTACTATATCTACAATAATATGACCAATCAAAGCGTATAAACGTCAAGAAACAATTGGAACAAATCTGTCATCTGGCTCAGCGCTATGACTTGAATGAGGAAGGGGGAGAGTGGGGGAGAAAAAGGCACATCTGAGAGGTGTGTTTGTATAAATGGGTGTACATACACATGTGCTTGTATATATTAAGTAGGTCATGTTTAGGAAGTTAGGGGGTTGGGATTTTTCTCTTATTAGGGTCAATAGGTTTGACTGATACCGTACTATACTGTAAAACAAGTTGAGAGGGTGGGGCTTGCTTAATGAGGTCATGTATACTGTGTCACAAGGGAGGATGGAAGGAGAGAAAGCGGTGCGGGCCTTCTGGTTGGGTGCCTGTATGGGTCACACTGTACCCTGGGGGACTTGACGGCGGGGTTCAGGGAGAAAGGGGGCGAAGGGAAGCCCTTCCTGTCTAGCCTGTGGATATATAGACATAAAAAAAAGAGCAGATGAGATTTGTTACGTCTGAAGTGGCTGTCATGCTGCTTTGTCTATATGCCAGAGTCAGATTAAGGGCGAATTTAAGATTGGGCCAGACACATCCAGAGAGCCAACCTTCACTTTTTATCTCCATGTGAGAGACAAAACAAACTTTTCTTTAAAAATTTGGTAATAGGATTTGATACATCCACTGGATTCCAAAAATAACGTTTCTTGTGATCCATTATGAATCAATGTATTGAAAAAAAATACACCTGACCTTTCCTTTCAATGAAAACATGTGGAATTATCTTTTATATTTGTTTTATGACAAAATATGCAGTTTTAAGACTCAATTAGAGATTTAACAACTTTCTAAGTAAGAGGTTGGTTTTCCATAAAAGCTGATCTCCTGTTTTATGCCATATTTAGTCCCTAGTACAAACATGCACAAAGGAACTAATAAACTTTGAACTCATCCAGAGTGGATCTGTTTGAACCAAATGCCATTCATTCCTTATTGAACTAACTCATTGCTGTGAGATAAACCTCCTCTTGGGAGACACAGCTGTGTTTTACTGTCTCTGAAGCAACACCTTTCTCTTCATTTCCTGTTATTCGCTTCACAGCTATCCAGGTCCTTTTGTAGGGGTGTAAGAAAATACAGACAAAATATCATATCACGATATATATATATATATATATATATATATATATAT